AAGAAACCTGTCAAGATACAAAAATGGTAGCTGTCACTGCAGACTTGGTCTTGGAGGTGCAATCACTAGGCTTCTAATCCTTGTCCTTCCTGATCTTTTTGTTGAGGTGGAAGAAGTATAAGTATCGCATGTGTGCCAATAGTTGTTTCAGGTCAGTGACTTGCAAGGCTTTAAAACAAGCTTAAAGATTACAGCCCCCAAAGCTTGCTGCTTCAAGATCAGCAATTTCAGCTTTCATATATACAGCAGTATTTTAAATGAATCTAGCTAAATATTGAGCAACTGATAGGCAGAGTCAGAAATATAAAAAAAGATTGTAGTTGTATGAAGCATACATATTAAGTAAAACTTGGATACATGGAGAAGCAGCTACAGGTACATGGAACAAATAACACATACTGTAAGTTGTTGGCTAATATATATATATTATTGTTATATAGTTATATGTTATATAATTATATATATTGTTTTGTTTTTGTTTTTTTTGCAGGGAGAGCCTGGAGTACCTGGTGGTGCAGGAAAACCTGGTAGCACAGGGAATATAGGTGACAAGGTAAGACATGATCAGATAATTTTTTAGGTGTTTGTGCATGTGTCATGGCATCCCTAAAGATTTAAAAAGTCGGAGATTAAAACAAGGCAATATATAGCTTTGAAATTGTGCTAACAGAGAAACTGGCTAACTGATTATGTTCTTCATCTTCTAACACAAACCTTGAAAAACAGATGCTCTGCTCATCTGGCTTCCTAAAAAACAAGATGTTAGAAAAAGAGTGGCTAATGTTTGATCTTCTCACAGTCTTTCTTATGAATTACTGAGTAAACTAATCACCACATGGCAATCCTCGAGAACACAAATTTTCCAGCTTTATATCATATATATATATATTATATATATATTATAGTTATAGCTATAATCAATCTTTATTACAAGCATATTTCTGTGGTATCATGATAAACATCAGAGTATAGGCAAATTGGATTTTGGAAAGTACAACAGACTGTGCGCTGGATTGGAAAAAAAATAACCTTTTGGTTTTAAAATAAATCCATAATTAAAAAGGATACATTTATAATTTGCAATTGAAAATTCTAAGGTTTATATATTCCCTATAGATAAAACTATACTAATGGAAAATGTTTGACTGTCAATGAAAAAATCCTTAGTTACTAATCATAAAGCCTTGGAACAAAGCAAACAACACTTTTGTCCACAAATAACACAAATGTACTTGCTAATAATAAATTTGTATGCAACATAGATAAATGCATGCTTACTAATCATCAGCAAATATTTAATCAATAATGACAAATCCATGATCAAGTATTATTAAGGACAAACCCTTCATTACCAATGAGGAGTCAATGACTAACAATAATAATGATTGATAGTGCATAATTCCCATTGACAGACCTATGACTATCATGCCAGTATAACTACCAATGACAAATCCAATGCTAACAATATTGCTGTGATCGGCAATGGAAAAATATTAACTGTCAGTGGGAGACCAATAACTACCATCAAAACGGTATATTAACAATAAATGAGCGATCAGCAAAAGAAAAATAAATATCTACCAATGGAGATGCCTACAGACCAAGATGATAAATGCTTTAATAGTTATAAAAACACAAGTATATTTAAATCATAATAGAAGTCAGATCCTCCTGGAAAAAAAGAAGTAAAGAATTCTACAATAATATTAAGTTTTAAGAATTCTATAACATAATGGCTGAAAAATCCTAGATAGAAAAGCTCATCTTTTATTTTCAATTGTGTACATTAATAATTATTTTTTAATTACAGGGAGATCCTGGATCAAATGGTCCTCCAGGAGAAAAAGGAGAATCTGGTGATGATGTAAGAGGCTGAAACTAAATATGATTGTGTGTAAACAGAATTACAATTATCTACTCTATCAATGAACATGTATTTGGTCTTTTTAGGGTGATGCTGGAACAGATGGACCTCCAGGCGATAGGGTAAGGTTCATTAAATATACTGTATGGTTTCTGATTCAGAAATCTGATTTTTATAAATTAATAGTTTCACATTTTAAAGGACTGGGAGTAGTATGTTAGCAGTTGGCGATTCTAGGTTTACATTTGTGGTTATCTGGCCACTATATGGTAACAGCCAGTCTTTATAGAGCTCTGAACTCCAAACGTCTTGTTTAGCAAAGCTGGACACATGGTAAAGTACTTCTGTTCACAATCTCTCCAACAAAGGCAGCAAAGGTGTCTTCTACAAAGCAGGGTTACCTTAAGATTAGTGTCTTGAGTTCATTTAATTTAGAGATCACATTTTGAAATATAATTAGTAATATGCTCATTAAGTTGGATAGGCAAAATCAGAATATATTTGCCATAGTTAACACTGGTTACAATACATTACATACCCAACACTATTGTGAATGGCTGAGAGTAAAAAGAACATTCTGACAAGCTGAACGTTTTGCAATGTTCGCTACTATTAGTGCAAAGAAATGCCTAGTAATACAGTTAATGATTTATGGGTTGCTCCTCTAATATGCTCTGAATTGTGATTGGCCATGATGCTGAATGATTTCATTGTTGAAAAATTAACAACTGGGTATCAGTTGACAGACTACCCTATTCAGTCTGGATTGGACCAGTGAACATAATTATGAACTTTTGGCAGTTCAAGTAGCAGTTTTGCCTCTAGTCCAATGCAAATTTGACATCGGGGTGATGCCCTACAGGATTCCCTCACTCTACTGCACAGGCCGTTGATAATTAATGTGGGAGGAATTCTGTTATCAGGCACAGACATAGAGCAGGAACACATACTGGCTAGCTTGTTGGTGCACCTTGTTCTTGAGCTGGCCATGCATTCAATGATTTCTTTTATTCAGCCTGCATTTGCAGGAGACATTTTTAGAAGGAGTAATGTTAGTAAAAGGAGCATACAAGGATATGGGTGCATCTAAAATAGACAGCTCTGGAGTCAGTAATTGTGTTCTAGTGTCTTGCTCTCAGGCTGCCAGACATAGGACATACTAGGAAACTAAGGAGCGGTAGTGGTGTGTGGGGATCTCCAGTCTGGTAGTTTTCTCCTTACCATTAGACAACTTATCCATAGCTGTCAGTAATGTATATAGACAAAGGTGAAGGAATAAACATCCTTCTAGTTATTTGGAAACTTGAGTTATCATAAACAAATATGAAGGACCACACATGGGTAGAAGACTCAGGGTGGGCAATAGTGCCAAGCTCTTCCTCCTAATCCTTCTCATCAGATCTGGTCCCAGACAAAATTCAAATAACAGTATCTTAGCTGCAGCCATAATGAATGAGAATGGGAGTTGTGAAAAACCAGTTGTTGCACAGGTTTTTCAATTTCATCTGCACCAACAGACAGAACATCTTTCTGCTTCTTCTTTTATAATAGACAGCAATCCACTGAGAAGTATCTTGGCAGAAACTGAAATATGCACTGTTTTCCTTTAGACTCCTGCAACAATATTAATCAAGTTGCTGGTGCTCTTACCAGTACTATTAGTAAGGTGATTTAGAGTCCCTATAGAGTTTGCTCAACCTAATGGAATGCGCTATGAAATCCAAAAACCTGGTGCATGCTGCTCACTGCTTGACCAAAGGTTTACAGCTGCACAGTGCAAACAGATACTGAGATGAAAAGGCTTGATGCATTGTACGCTCAATAACTACAATTAAGAAATTTGTGTGCATAATGCATCAAGGTTTTGCATCTTGATATCTGTTTGCATTGCGCAGGTTTGGTCAAGCAGTGAGCAGCGTGGACACATTTTGTTTTCATTTTTTTGCATGCATATAAACCAAGCAAGGTTTCGGATCTACAGGTGATTCCTGTAAAACCAGGAGCCAGCTTCCTTGCATCACATACACATGCTGATGGAACATGCCAAGCTGCCATTATGTACTATATATAATACGGATGTTACTTACATGTTTTTATGCCGGGAACATAGAGTACTCCATTTTCCTGCTGTGCAACCTGGTGAATTCATCTAATGATACACTAAGCAGCAGCTATTGCCAGGGACAGAGCTTGTCTTTTATGGCCTAGTGCATTAACTTGTGAACCAGCAGATTTGATACACTACAACTGCAACATCTGGTAACATATCTGGTAACATATTCAGGGTGAGCATAGCATTCTTCTTTAGCCAGTAGTAGTTAGGCACATTAAACTTTATTTGTTTTGTAAAGCAAGTGTTTTACCACTCATCTGAATGCCATTCACAGATCTATTGATTGTCATGAACATACCACAGCATTTATAGTCACAAGTAACTCACCTTAACCAACTCCAGTCAGGGTCAATTCTGAAATTTCTCTCATATATATACTGTAAAAATCTGCATTTTTTTGCTAGAAAATTACTTAGAGCCCCAAAGCATTATATATCTTTTAAGCAGAGGCCCTGGAGAATAAAACAGTTGTTGTTGCAATTTTTTTTTTCTGCACGATATTTGCGCAGCAGTTAACCAAACACAAATTTGCAGGAAAAAATAGACTTGAAAATGAATTTTAGTGCACACAAACACAATATAATACCTGAATTTTGGTAAAAGAATAAAGATGATGTTATACCAAGTAAATAGATACCGAACATATCACACTTTAAAATTGGGCACGCCCATGGAATGACGACAAACTACATTACATTGAATTATCCATAGGCAACACTTTAAAAGCCTTTACAGCAGGGGTCCTCAAACTTTTTAAACAGGGGGCCAGTTCACTGTCCCTCAGACCGTTGGAGGGCCAGACTATAGTTTAAAAAAAAAAAAACTATGAACAAATGCGGACACAGTACAGGAGATGACCAGAGACTGCGGACATAGTACAGGAGATGACCAGAGGCTGCGGACATACAACGACGGCGGGAATACTGGGCAGGCCGCTCCACAAGACGCACAGACATTTCCCCCCAAGTGTGTCTTATGGAGCAAAATAGTGCCCCATCATTGGTGTCTGTGGGAGAAATATTGCCCCATTATTGGTGTCAGTGGGAAGAATCGTGCCCCATCATTAGTGTCAGTGGGAGGAATAGTACCCCATCATTGGTGTCATTGGGAAGAAACATGCCCCATCATTGGTGTCAGTGGGAAGAAAAACGTGCCCCATCATTGGTGTCAGTGGGAGGAATAGTGCCCCATCATTGCTGTCAGTGGGAAGAATCGTGCCCCATCATTGGTGTCAGTGGGAGGAACAGCACCCCCTCATTGGTGTCAGTGGGAGGAATAGCGCCCCATTATTGGTGTCAGTGGGAAGAATCGTGCCCCATCATTGGTGTCAGTGGGAGGAATAGTGCCCCATCATTGGTGTCAGTGGGAGGAATAATGCCCCATCATTAGTGTCAGTGGGGGGAGGAATAGTGCCCCATTGATGGTGTCAGTGGGGGGAGGAATAGTGCCCCATCATTGGTGTCAGTGTGAGGGGAATAGTGCCCGGTCATTGGTGTCAGTGGGGGAAGGGGATAGTGTCCCAACATTGGTGTCAGTGGGAGGAATAGTGTCCCATCATTGGTGTCAGTGGGAGGAATAGTGTCCCATCATTGGTGTCAGTGGGAAGAATAGTGCCTCATCTTTGGTGTGAGTGGGAGTTATAGTACGTTATTGGTGTCAGTGGGGGGGAATAGTGCCCCGTCATTGGTGTCAGTGAGGGGGGGGATAGTGTCCCAACATTGGTATCAGTGGGAGGAATAGTACCCCATCATTGGTGTTAGTGGGGAAAGGAATAGTGTTCCATCGTTGGTGTCAGTGAGTGGGAGGAATAGTGCCCCATCGTTGGTGTCAGTGGAGGGTGGAATAGTGCCCCATCGTTGGTGTCAGGGGGGGAGGAATAGTGCCCCATTGTTGGTGTCAGTGGGGGGAGGAATAGTGCCCCATCATTGGTGTCAGTGGGAGGAGGAATAATGCCCCATCATTAGTATCAGTGACACCAATGATGGGGCACTATTCCTCCCAATGACACTTAACTTGCTGACCCCTGTTCCAGCATGGGGCTGCTGCAGCCAGCATACCTGGTTGCAGCAGCACCATCAGCACGGCACACTTACCTGTCAGCTGTCCTTCTTCACTCCGGCCTCTCCCTCACTCGATGTTCGCGGGGGCCGCTCGGCTCTGCCTCCTTGCAGGTGATTGGCTGCCTGTGTGCCTTTCCTGAGCTACAGTTCTGGTGCCCAATCACCAGTGAGGAGGCGGAGCCGAGCGGCAGCGCGAACATCGAGTGAGGGAGTGGCCGGAGTGAATGAAGGAGCAGCGCTTCCTGGACTGGATCGTCGTGGGACTGGGACACGGAGCCAGGTAAGATACAGCAGCCCCCTGCCCGCCCCTGTACTTAGTGTCCCTTCCTCGCTGCAAATACGCCCCTGCCGGCGGGCCGGACAAATGTCCTTGGCGGGCCGCATGTGACCCGCGGGCCGTAGTTTGAGGACCCCTGCTTTACAGGTTACCAGTTTAGAGTTACACATGGGGTCTGATGCTAGAATTATTGCTGTGGTGTGATCTCCTTTTTAAATATGCACGTGGAACCTATGTGTGCTCTTGCATTTGCACGTGAGCATGGGGGACATGTAATTTTTCTTTTATTATTACTAATGTTATTTACATTTTTAACTCTGTTTCTTTATTTTTTAAATTGAACTTTATTGCTATCACAAGGAAGGGATGAACAGAATCCCTTGTGATAGCATGAGCCATTACAGGCCTTCTTTATGGAGAGATGATTTTTTTTTTTTTAACTGGTATATCCCCTCTGTACAAGTGTTAATTTACTGTATATGACCTGTTACTTAAGTCTAATCTCTAATTTCCTCAGGGAGGTGCAGGAGAGCGGGGCCCACCAGGCGTGTCTGGAACTCGAGGACCTAGAGGAGACAAGGTATTCAAAAAGTGGTCAGCAATGTTAGCCCACATATACCTCTCATGATAAATGTCACAGAGTCTGCATGGCATATACCCAGAAGTCATTTCCTTTGGAAAGGGTATTTACATATAATAATCATTTATGATAGTTATTCTATTATCATTCATAAAATAAAAAACTGCTATCTTGAGCTGCTTTCAATTCACTAGAATATTATTTTTTAGGTTATTTGTTTGCTATATGCTCATGAATATTTTTACATGAATATTGCAGGTATTTATTAGTGTATATAGAATAATATGATTTCTCACTATTTTTTTTCTTCTAAAGGGTGATCCTGGACAGCAAGGAGATCAAGGACGAGACGGGCCTGTTGGTCCCATTGGAGATCCAGTAAGAGGCAAATCTTTGTATTAATACTTAGGCTTGTTTTGTTTTATTGTGAACCAAGATAACAATCAGTACTGTCCTAAACAAATTGTTGGGTACTATTCTTCAGCCCGGTCTTCTGGGTGGGCTCAGGGATTATGTTGGTCGATGCTTCCATTTCTGTGTCATCATCACTCACCCATCTAATGCAGCACATCTAAAGCACCTAACAGCCTATGGATGGACAGAAGTGTTTGGGATCATGTTTTAAGGAAAGAGGACCTGGGGGCTGGATCATGTGGTGATGGCCTATGTGACACTCGTAGCTGTGGCTCCTATCCTACACCAATTCATATTGGGTTGACAGAAGGATATTCAGATTCTTAAGAACCCTAGGACTCTAACCATATGGTGAAAAAATTATAGCATTGCCTTCCTAAAACAGAAGGCATTGAATTTGTCTTCCACCATAACCCAGAAAACAAAGGATTTATTCCTCATTTATGGACAATGGGCATAGCCATATCATTCATTCCTTAATCACAATCACTACCTTTATATCCAAGACCACTAGTACTAAATTAGATAAGTGTCCATTACTAAAATGTATATACACCAGTCTGTTCTATGTAAGTGAACCACAAATCAATCCTTCAGAATACTGCCTTCTCAAAACAGCAAGGTCATCCTTTTGTCACAAATTCAACAGCAAGTACCATACTTTATGGATTTACCACAGATTATAGAGAAGATGTGATAACTGAAAATTACAGAATAAATTAAAACAGCAGTTTCCAAATCCTTCTTTTGAAGAAGTAAAGGCTCGGAATTCAAAATGGTAACAAATGAAAAGCATGTCTCATTTAGTTAGTAAGCAATTAAAAAGTGGGCCTGTTCATCTTTTTGGCTTTACCAAAAAAAAATTAATGGCTTTACCAGGGATTTCCTGTCCTGGTTCCTATTTTGGATAGTTCCACTCACTTCCTATGTTTTAAATGGGTGGAAAACAGAACACCTCACCCAAATTGAAAACAATTTGGATTTTAAAATAAGTCATATATCTTATAGTCCATCCCTGCATTGTACACCACAGCTTCTAAACTATGATCTGTCCATAAACATAATATAAATGACTGCAGTAGGAAAATGGCACAAGACAGGCAATCATGTGAATTTGACCTATGTAGTTAGATATAATATAGAGGTCTCCATCCACAGGATAAATGGATAATGGAAAATTGTGCATCTTGGCAGCGTAGTCCAGCAAGATAGAATCCAGTCTGATAAGGAAACCACTAAATAATGAACTTCCCCCACTCAGACCCAAATGGGAGATGATATACAACTCCTCAGCAGTATAAAAATGTTTAGAATCAAACTAGAGTGTAGACATTGGACCTGGATTTGATAAATATGTTAATTTATCAGGAACAATCGTAAGTGATTTATTAATATTTACAGTATGTTTCTGGAACCCTCCTTTTGTTAAAATAGGACATACTCCTTATAAAATTTTAATTCATTATAATTCCTTTTAGTCCACTTCAGAAATTCTTTCACTTTGACCTTATTTCCTCCTGATGAATATCTTTCAATATGAACATTATCATATATAAACACTGGCAGCTGTCTTCACAGAACTTACAGTAAGAAGATACAGTAGCAAAGATGTAAGAGAAATTAACCAGAAAATAAGTCAGACGTGGCTGCGAGACAGAAATTGGCGTTCCTCCATTATAATAACAATGGGGATCTGTGTATATCATTGGAATAACAGAAAATCTCAGATTCTGTCCAACTAGAAATGCAGTTATATACTGTTTATACATGGCTCTGAAGCTGCAGATAATAAATTGGTGTCATGTTAGGAGCATACAGGCAAAGTTGGTGTGTTTTTTATTTTTTAATGTGTTGGTTTTGCTTTGCTTTTTTTTAACAAAAATAGAGTTATTTCAAGAAGAGGTTCTTTGAAAGATCTCAGTTTTCTTTTTACAGAAATATCCATTTATGGAGAAATGTAGAGAATAGGGGCCAGGTGTACATCTTAAAGTGAGCCTGTGACTAGAGGTTCAAAAGAAAAATTAGCCCAGCCTTCAAAAGAAGATGGTATACACTTACTATTTGGGTGGGTAACTTATGTGTTGAAACACTGCCTTGTCGCTGACTCCTGACTGCTGCCCAGAAAGTAGAAGAATGGCTTCAAGTTGTTCTGCTTGGAGCACAAAAAGGATTTAAGACTCCCCCACTTGGCTGTGCTGGGTCCCATCAATTTGCCACGTAGACACCAATTGCTGCATTGTAGGAGAAAGGGAGCAGAGTCATCGTACCCTATACCCTGTACTGTTATATTTCTTCCCTCCTGGTGGCCAAAATGAGTGATGTGGGAGCAAAGTAAAAGCAAACCTATGTTACTTGCCCTACATATTAGGTTCATACTAGAAAAAGTAGGGCCGTCTCTAATAGCCAACTAAGTTTCACTTCTGTGCAATGTGATGTGCTGACAAAGAGAGCAGAGAGCAGAGGGAGTTTCAGGATGACCTGATTAGTGTGCTTTTGCCCCTGTCCTATCAGCAGGCTGAATGGGTTCCTGACCCATTATATGTACTGTATTTCAGTTCTGCACTGTGCTGTTTAATGCTAAAAAGTCTTCTGGCAAGCTGTTCTTGGGGGCACATTCAATTAATTTGACTAAAGTGGTTGTCAGAAAGATAGAGCCTGGGCTTAATTAAAATATATGTCTTTAATTGATAGCTTTCCTTTTAAAATTGCAAGCTTCCTAGCTGTAGTACTGAGTCAATTTCTGAGTCACTGACACAGAACAAGCCAAAATTAGGAGTTTTGACTTCACACAGATCTTCCTTGCTGTATACCAGTGAAAGGTAGGTCACTTATAGATTTCTTAAATCAGATACAGCCAGGCAAATAACATTTTCAGAAGCAGGCCAGCAGTTGTAGCCTACATTTATCTTGAAATCTTTCATTGATAAAAAATATTACATTATTCAGTGGCATTTGGGGTGAAGATGCCAAAATGTGTCTCCCAGGGCTTATCATGTTTGAATATTCGCACAGTAGGTGCAAAAATGATAAATTATGTCTACCAGTCCTAGGGAAACCACATTTTGGTTCTTAGAAAACCAAGCCTGATGGGTATTTTTAAATGCAAGATTCATTTATGCCAACCAGTGTCAATAATCCTAATACACAGAGTAGAGCACAGTTGTAAAACTGAAAAAACTGTGAATATTACCATGAGAGAGCCACTGAGCTGATGTAGTCAGGGGAAGGGACATGCAACCCTTAGTTCCTTCCTTTCCCCATTTCTAACTGTTGAACCAAA